AAAGACTACAAAATGAAGTCTGCTAGCAGCCGTGTCCTCATGGTGCCATGAGGTCCTCAAAACGCCTACCACCAGTATCTGCATCCCCAGGGAGAGTCCCCATCACGCTGGCCTTCAAAGCCAGACATTCTGGAGGCTCAGTTTCCTTTGCAGGAGCCCAAAGTAAGGTTCAGATCCCTTGATTCTTGGGAAGAACTCCTGCAATTGTGATTATCCTCCTGCTTGTGGGTCACCTACCCAGGAGTGTGGTCTTGACTATACTGCATCTCCATTCAGCCTACTGTCTCACTGTGGTTCCTTCCTTATACCTTTCGTTGTGGAAACACTTTCCTGCATTTCCTGTCATTTTCATTGATAGCTGCCCTGTAAATTGTTGTAATTTTGCTGTGCCCTTGTGTGAAGCAAGGTCTCTTACTCCACCATGTTGGCCACCCAGGTACTTTTCAGGTAACAATAGAAACAACAAATAGTTAAGTGTTTTCAAGCTGTCACTATGTCAGGCTCTCTGCTATGTGTTTTAGTTCTATTATTCCAGTTAATCTTACCAAAAAAAAAAAAAAAAACCTATGAGTAGGTTTTAAAATTATCTTCCCAGTCTGGATGAGGAAACTGACTCAGAAATGTTAACTGAAAGTCACTCAGTCGTGTTCAGCTCTTTGCGACCCCATGGACTGTATAGTCCATGGAATTCTCCAGGCCAGAATATTGGAGTGGGTAGCCTTTCCCTTCTCCAGCGGATCTTCCCAACCCAGGAATCGAACTAGGGTCTCCTGCATTGCAGGCGGATTCTTTACCAACTGAGCTATAAGGGAAGCCCCCAGAAATGTTAAAACCTCATCCAAAGTCACACAGCCCATGCTGCCAGAGCTAGCATTCCAGCCTAGAGTCGTTGGATTCCCAAGACCATTCTGTGAACTTTTACATTAAACTTCCTCCACCTCTTAAACAGAGCTGGCTGTGACTGGTGGTCATAGAAGGAAAGGAATGCATGGGAACAACCACCCAGTTCCAAGGTGAGAAACTCTGCAGAGGAGCATCCTTTCCTTTTCTTTTTTATTCTCTAATTGTTCCTTTTTTAAAGCATTTGCTGTCAAGGCTACAGCCCTGCCTCAGCTCACTAGGCTGCTTACATGGTGGGCAGGTGAGCACCCTGCACTAATAAACTAGAGGAAAGACTACAAAATGAAGTCTGCTAGCAGCTGTGTCCTCATGGTGCCATGAGGTCCTCAAAACGCCTACCACCAGTATCTGCATCCCCAGGGAGAGTCCCCATCACGCTGGCCTTCAAAGCCAGACATTCTGGGGGCTCAGTTTCCTTTGCAGGAGCCCAAAGTGAGGTTCAGATCCCTTGATTCTTGGGAATAACTCCTGCAATTGTGATTATCCTCCTGCTTGTGGGTCACCTACCCAGGGGTGTGGTCTTGACTATACTGCATCTCCATTCAGCCTACTGTCTCACTGTGGTTCCTTCCTTATACCTTTCGTTGTGGAAACACTTTCCTGCATTTCCTGTCATTTTCATTGATAGCTGCCCTGTAAATTGTTGTAATTTTGCTGTGCCCTTGTGTGAAGCAAGGTCTCTTACTCCACCATGTTGGCCACCCAGGTACTTTTCAGGTAACAATAGAAACAACAAATAGTTAAGTGTTTTCAAGCTGTCACTATGTCAGGCTCTCTGCTATGTGTTTTAGTTCTATTATTCCAGTTAATCTTACCAAAAAAAAAAAAAAAAACCTATGAGTAGGTTTTAAAATTATCTTCCCAGTCTGGATGAGGAAACTGACTCAGAAATGTTAACTGAAAGTCACTCAGTCGTGTTCAGCTCTTTGCGACCCCATGGACTGTATAGTCCATGGAATTCTCCAGGCCAGAATATTGGAGTGGGTAGCCTTTCCCTTCTCCAGCGGATCTTCCCAACCCAGGAATCGAACTAGGGTCTCCTGCATTGCAGGCGGATTCTTTACCAACTGAGCTATAAGGGAAGCCCCCAGAAATGTTAAAACCTCATCCAAAGTCACACAGCCCATGCTGCCAGAGCTAGCATTCCAGCCTAGAGTCGTTGGATTCCCAAGACCATTCTGTGAACTTTTACATTAAACTTCCTCCACCTCTTAAACAGAGCTGGCTGTGACTGGTGGTCATAGAAGGAAAGGAATGCATGGGAACAACCACCCAGTTCCAAGGTGAGAAACTCTGCAGAGGAGCATCCTTTCCTTGGAATATCAGTTGGCCTTGGCAGTAAAGACCTGAGACAGCTGGTCTGCAAACAGCCTTAGGCCATCCTGACCAGGCTGCTGATTCTATGTTGTGGTCACTATCCAGGGTCACCCAGCTTTTCTGCTCAGAGCCAGTTCATCACTTCATCCAGATGGGCTCCAGCCCTAAGGAAATGACTGATGGTAACCTGCCCATAGTGGACTGATTAGAACTTTGAAATACCAGCATAAAGAATTCATAGGGCAAAAAGCCCTTAATGGGAAAGACCAGGATGTGAAAGCCACCAAGCAGACCCTCTGAACACTAAGGCAGGAAATTGGAAGTTGTTTCTAGTTCTGGGATATTCACAGGAAATCCTGGAGATACTTACCCAGTCAGTAAATGATGGGTACTGGAATTAAGCACATTCTATAATACCATTCAGTAGCCCTGTATCCTTAGAAAAGGACTTTGCCTCTCTGAACCTGAGTCATCTTGTTCATGAAATGTATCTACAATTAACTAGTTTCCCAAGGTCTTATAGAAAAGATTAGAACTACCTATAGAGTGGGTGGCACTTTACAAATCTCATGTGAGTATTACAGAACTATTACTATAACTTAGACATAGGAGTCTCCTGTATCTCAGTGTAGGCATCAGCCTGTCTCCCAAGACTGAAATATCCATGTAACTTAACCAAGTACCCTTTCCCTAAAACATTACCGGAGAAAAATCTGGTAATTCATTTTAGTTTACTAATACCAAAACAAAATATACTTCCTTATTTTTTCAGATTCTTTTTTGTTGGTTTCTTTTAGACCAACTGCTTTCTGGTGACGTTTCCTAGGAAGGCTTCTCCAGGTCAGGCAGTAGGGGACGTTTCGTCCATGGAATTTTCCTATGGAGAAGCTACGCTCTTCTGTGGAATGAGGATTCTTATTTTAGCATATGCCCCAGAAAACAGCACTCACAGACTCATCACCAGAGTGGTTATTCAGATATTTCAGGTTCCTGTGGCTCTCCACCCTCTAAATACAGCACTATTTCCTCATCTCCACAGGTATTAGGTGATACACCTTAACAGCAAAATCTGTCTCTGTAATGGGTTTAGAGGCAAAGATGATTAAAGGATTAGAAAGTCTTAACATACAAAGAAAAGTGGAAGACAGAAAGGTACTTTGTCTCACAAAAACAAGAAACCAGTCATTCCCCCCTGAAGAATGGAACAAGAAAAAAAAAGTGTGCTTCAGTGTAACGGATTAAGAAAATGACTGAAAATCTGGTTAAATGTGGATATGAGTTAAATTAGGATAGCATCTACTCTCGTCTTTGGGAAACATAAAAGATGTGGTTTAGATACATCGACTGGGGACAGTCTGGTCCAGGCCTGGACGTATCCTTGCCCAAGGGCTGGCAGATGGATCAAATGACCTCTCAGCACCCCTCCCAGCCCCACACTTTTGTCATCCTATGCTTGTTGGACAAGCACGTTAGCTGCTTTATATTTACCCTTGCAAGTTAGTGGAGGAGTCAACTGCCTGAAAGAAAACAGGTAAACTCTTTTTGTCCCCAAAATAAATGCCTCTGTTTCAAGGGACTTCCCTGGTAGCTCAGATGGTAAAAAATCTGCCTGCAATACAGGAGACTCAGGTTCAATCACTGGGTCGGGAAGATCCCCTAGAGAAGGAAATAGCAACCTGCTCTAGTATTCTTGCCTGGAGAATTTCATGGATGGAGGAGCCTGGTGGGCTACAGACTATGGGGTCACAAAGACACAACTGAGTGAGGGTTGCATGATCCTGCAACAGATCAAGTCTAGAAATGCAGGAAGAGGGAGTCCCAAACAGAAGACCTGACCTGTAAAGACAAATTGTGCCTTACTGAAAGTGCAGCTCTTGGCTTGTATAGAATTGAGGCTCTCCTCCATCCCAGCTGAGTTCAATTCATTCTTTCAATGAATGTGCAGCTCCTACTAGGCATGGAGCCCTAGACAGTGTACCACAGACTCTACTGTAAGCCAAACAGTGATCTTTTGCTTTTCTGCAAAACACTGAACGGGTGATGAACATGTAGTCAATTACCCCGCAGGGTCTGCATTTATGCAGCAAATAATGACTGAGTTGCTAAGATGCACAAGGCACTATGCCAGGCACTTGGAATGGGTTGGTAACTAAGTGGAAAAATCCTTTGCCCTCATGGAGCTTTCATTCTGGGAAGAGGCACACATGATGAAAGACACACAAGATTCTCTAAGAACTGTGACAAGGAGACCTGCCCTGGCTGACAAGTACCCCCGCTACTGCCCCCTGAGAAAGGGGTGTTTCTATTGGCATGTGAAAGCTGAGTCTGAATCGGTGAGCAAGCTTGCGTCATGGGAGGAGGCAGCATTAGGAGAGCGCTCCATTTAAAGATAATGAATGTGGTCAAGGGACCACAATCTGCTTTCTAGTAGATGAAGGGTCATTTATGTATTCCTCTTTCTTGCTATTATACAAACATTAGTGCAGTAAATAATTTTAAAAAATATCAAAGTCATACTTAAAACTAGTTTATCTCATTTTTATCTAATAGATTGGTATTTATTACTTATAAATTATGATCAGACTCTATATGGATGTGATATCATTTGGACACTAAATTCAGAATCAACTGAGAGTTTGACCCTGATGATGAAAGCCTTGAGTCTGATTCTAAAAAGGCTTTGGTATTGCTGTAAGCCAACAAGATGATGTGTTTGACACTGTGACATGGATCTTTCCCCCCCGACATTGACTGTGAATTATAGGTTGGTTCCTGCACTACAGGTGGACCTGTGGCAGCCTGGAGGTGTCTCCCAGATATCACAGGGAACAGTCACAGATGTCCACGTTCCCCACAATGGCTCCCGAACCCTGTTAACCTTCCTGGAGGAAGCCAACATCCAGTACAAGTAAGTGTGTTTTTCATTGCTTAATTCATTTATACTCAATTGAACTGAATGGCAACTGTATTTAGGTTATGTCTTAAATGCCAGCAATAGTGTTTCAGGTTCTGTTTTTCACATTGGGGAAGCCAACATGGATATGGCACAGTTCTTATTTGCCAGTCATGAGCTTCTTTCTTAGTGTAATGGTGGAGGGGGAGCAATCACACGTCTCTATCCCTCAGCTAAGTAATCAGTGTACACATGGGAGGGTTTTACCGTGTGAGGAGAGGAGAGGAGTTTATCCACGCCTAGGAGGTGGATGCGGAAACGGGCAGACAAAAGCCAGACTCTGCAGGAGCTGCATCAGTTGGACAAAGGATGAGACTTGGGACCTTGAAGGCAGAGGGGAACAGGCAAGAAGCAACACAGCACAGGGAACTGGTGCAGATCAGGGAGTAGGAAGAAAAGGTGCCTGAGAAGCAGGACGAGGGGCCAGGTTGTGGGAAGCTGCTGTTCAGAATTAGGAACTCAGACTTCATCTTATGGGTGATGCTGCACAATCGTAGGATGTGAGCAAGGGAGCCACATGTTACTGGGTGGAGGCGCGTAGGAGGAGACTACAGCAGCAATCCAGGTGAGAAAATGAGGATCCTGAGTCAGGAACAGAGTGGTGGGATCAAAAGAGAATTCCAAAAAATATTTCAGAAGCAAAACCACCTGGATTCTGCATTTGTTGGGATGTAGGTGGAAGAGGAAGAACTCTTGGGTGATTCCAAGTCTTCTGTCTTTGATGACCAAGTGGATAGATTTGAATACTTTGAGTTGTTTTTGTTTTTGTTTTGTTTTTTTACAGTATTAGTTAAGCAGTGAGTGTGGAACTGCTGGAAGATATTCCTAGTCATCAAATAAGAAACAAAATCTTTTGAGATAAGGGATGTCAGTGGTTCCTGGTGCCATAGTGATCTCATGCAAGAAAAGGACTGATCAGTTACGTTCAGATTTGACAATGGAAGTTGCACTGGTTACCCTGATGGTGGGATTGGAGTGTCAGAAGCAGAAGACAGAGAAGTGAACAGGATGTGAGAACCCAGCAGCAGAGCCAACTACTCTGTGACTCTTAGAACTTACAATAGGGATAGGGCAGAGATGAGGAAGATGCTAATTCAGGGACTGCCTGAGATTTGGAGTGTGGGGAGGGGCCAACTGTGGCCTGAAGGCACTATGACCAGCATGGAAGGAGGCAATTGATGATGAAAGACAGAATGCACAGGTGAGGGAGTAGTTTTAAATGGTAGGAAAAGTACCTTATCCTATAAGACCAAAGAGGTAAATGTGGGCCTAGTTAAGATTGTGGAGAAGAGAGTCGACAGGTTAGAGAGATCGTAGTAGTAGTCGTAGTGCTAGTGGTTCGTCATGTCTGACTCTTGTGACCCCGGGGACTGTAGCTCACCCGGCTCCTCTGTCCACAGAATTCTCCAGGCAAGAATCCTGCAGGGGTAGTCATTTCCTTCTTCAGAGGACCTTCCTGACTCAAGGATCAAACCCAGGGCTTGTGCATTGCAGGTGGATTCTTTCCATCTGAGCCACCAGGGAAACAGGGCAGGAGATCATAACTAATAGCCCAGTTTTCTGGATGAACTGAGAAGCAAAATTTATCTACTTAGAATAAAGAAATAGGGGTTAAAGAGTGTTGCCAAGAGAAAAAATGGGGTAGGGACCAATAAAGAGAAGACAGACTGTAGCACTGATTCAGAGTTGATGTTTTGTTGGTTAGAACCACAAAAAGCTGAAGGTGACAAGGAAGTTAAGGTTTCTAGTGAGATGCTAGCCCAGGTATTCATCCATGGGGTCTAATCTGNGACTTAGCGATTAAACAACACCAACAAAGGACCTAACTGTATATATAGCACAGGGCACTCTACTCAATACTCTGTAATGACCTATATGGGAAGAGAATCTAAAAAGTGGATATGTTTAACTGGCTCACTTCTCTGTACAGCAGAAACCAACAACTTTGTAAAGCAACTATATTCCAATAAAAAGAAAATTTTTGTTTTAAATGATGGGACAAAATGGAAGACTCAGGGCATTAAGATATTTACAGTGAAAACAGGTTTAGCGTGACTGAGGGCAACAAGTTGGAAGGAAACACGTTTTGATAAAGTGTAGGCTGCTGGACATTAAGAGTTCTGGAATAGAACACTTGTGGCTGGTGACAGGATTGTAGGGGTAGCAATGAAGGAGATGGTGGAAGTGGAATGGAGATCATTGAGGCTGATGCAGGCAAGAGAGAGTGAGGTTAATCACCATAAAGCCATCTCAGCAATCTTGAATTTCCTTGGCTGATGGCAAGATTAGAGGTGGGGAAAGCGAATGTGTTCCTGAGACAGGAGGTAGCAGGGAGGAGCCAGGAGTTAGAGGTAGGCAACCAGGAATGGCACAATGCTGACGGGGGGGTGAGCTTTCCCCAGAAGTTAGAAGGTTAACAGAGCAGTACCAATGGTACCCAGGAGGATGCTGACAAAGTAGGAGAAGAGAAAGTCACCAAACAGTCTGGGTCCTTGAAAGAATCCAGTTTCTGCTGGTGCAAGAATATGAGAAGAGGGAGTTCTCTAAAGAGACTGGAGAATGTGGGAATTTTATTTACAATCAAAGAGAATTCCAGGGGGCACAAAAGCAAAGGAGTGGGGTAAGAGATGGAGAGAAAGTGCAAAATCTGAGGGGAGAAATGCAGGCTAGTGAATGAGTAAGATGGGAAGGAGTGACTTACTCTTGCTTTGGAACCCTATGATTTTGGCCACAATCGTAAATGACTAACCAGGTGCTGCTAGTGGTAAAGAACCCACCTGCCAGTGCAGGAGACACAAAAGATGCAGGTTCGATCTCTGGGTCAGGAAGATCACCTGGGGAAGGAAATGGCAACCCACTCCAGTATTTTTGCCTGGAAAATCCCATGGACAGAGGAGCCTGGCCAGCTACAGTCCATGACGTCACAGAGAGCCAGACACAACTGAGCACACACAACCTTTCAAATACTCCAACTTTTAAGCTAGTGATTTTACTGTCAGAACTGACACAGATCCCCGGTGAGGCCCAGGAAGGGTTCATGGCTCTCTCAGTCAAGGAGGAGAGCTCTTGTCTCTTTGGAAGGCTGGGACAGAGGGTTCAATGGGGCAGTAACATCCTTCCCTGGCCCGGAGATATTTGGCTCTCAGAGCGATAGGCACAGCTTTATGAAAGTACTGATGGGCTTTTTGCAGAAAGGTATTTTATCTGTACCTCCATAACAGGGCAGAGTCACAGCTGTGCATAAAACCATTGTTCATATTGAACACGTTTTAGTCATTGCTGTAGCTCTGAAGGCAGGCTTTGATTCTCCGAATGCCTAGCAGGGAAGAGCTTGTTTCTATAGGTCCTCGGTAAAAAAAACTCAAATGCTTCATTAATTATTATTTGGAAGAAAAGAATATACCAGTTATTTTAACAAGTCTCTATTTCCATTCAACATAGGTCATGTGGAACTGCTATAGAATAAAATATCACCCTTTATACCACAGAGAATAGAGTTTTTAACAATGAGAGTTTTAAACCAGTGGTCTCCTCCTGGAGAGCAATCATTTAGAATTATTCATTTTGTTGGCATGAAGATAATAATATGTAAGTCGATTAAATTCCCCAGGGCTGGTAGGTAGAGATCATTCTAATTGAGCTATATTATTGTAGCCTGGGGTATATTCCAAAGATTATAATTTACTCTGTACAACTATACATAGTGTATAGATATACTCATCTTTATAGCAGAGACAATGTGGCCCCATTTGTCTGGCCCCTGGGTGATCAACCCCTCTTAACGACATGACCTAGGAAATGATTCCTTTTGCTAAAAAAAATTTCAATAATTTTGTAAACTGAATACCTGTTTAAAAAAATAGTAATGGAATTTCAAAGTTTGACACACACTCCCTTGTCCACCCTAGAAGCTTTGGGGAGGTGATTTTGTACTAAGTGATAATACCACTTGTATAAAGTTCTTAATAGATCTAGAAAAAATCTTTGACTATTTCAAAAGGAAAACAACTCATTGAAGATATAATCACATTAAAAAGGCTTGATACAGTACACTTTGGCATGTTCGTTGACTTTTTAAGGAAGCATATGCTACACACTGGGGCTTCCCAGGTGGCATAGTGGTAAAGAATCTGCCTGCCAATGAAGGGATGCAAGAGCTGTGGGTTCGATCCCTAGGTCAGGAAGATCCCCTAGAGAAGGAAATGGCAACCTGCTCCAGTATTATTGCCTGGAGAATTCCATGGACAGAGGAACCTGGAGGGCCACAGTCCATGGGGTCACAAAAAATCAGACACAACTGAGCATACATGTGATTAGAATAGAAATAGTAATCAGCCATAAGGAAACTAAGAAACTACAGCTGTTTAAAAAAAAAAAAGCCATTGGACCCCATTTCATGGGCCTCTCGTCAATCTACTAGTTTCCAGTTGGCCACTTAGACAAGAAAAGAGGGGCCAGACCTGGTGTGACAGCCCGGCTGGTGGTCAAGAAGTTGGTGACTGGACCCCAGAGTTCTGAGTCCAGACACCTGATACCCTCTAAATGGTCATGTTTCTGCCACCTCGACATGGTCACACCCGCAGGAGATGGCCTCCGCCCCATTCTTAACTTCCTCTCTTTGCAGGGTTCACAAATTCGTACCCAGGATCGTAGCTACATGAAAGTCGAGGAAAAGTAATTTTCAGCCTCCCAGCCCTTTCAATACAGGAGGTCCAAAGAGAGAGGAGGGATAGATGCTGCTGATCACACCTAGCATGGACACTCAGGAGGAAAGAGGATGCAAAGACCAGCCATATTCTAATGCTTTCTTCCATTTTTGTTTAATGTGGAAACTGAGAAGACTGAGAGCAGTCAGTTTCCAGATTAATTAGCCTAAATTACTGGTAATAGTAATGGAATTTCAAAGTTTGACACACACTCCCTTGTCCACCCTAGAAGCTTTGGGGAGGTGATTTTGTACTAAGTGATAATACCACTTGTATAAAGTTCTTAATAGATCTAGAAAAAATCTTTGACTATTTCAAAAGGAAAACAACTCATTGAAGATATAATCACATTAAAAAGGCTTGATACAGTACACTTTGGCATGTTCGTTGACTTTTTAAGGAAGCATATGCTACACACTGGGGCTTCCCAGGTGGCATAGTGGTAAAGAATCTGCCTGCCAATGAAGGGATGCAAGAGCTGTGGGTTCGATCCCTAGGTCAGGAAGATCCCCTGGAGAAGGAAATGGCAACCTGCTCCAGTATTATTGCCTGGAGAATTCCATGGACAGAGGAACCTGGAGGGCCACAGTCCATGGGGTCACAAAAAATCAGACACAACTGAGCATACACGTGATTAGAATAGAAATAGTAATCAGCCATAAGGAAACTAAGAAACTACAGCTGTTTAAAAAAAAAAAAGCCATTGGACCCCATTTCATGGGCCTCTCGTCAATCTACTAGTTTCCAGTTGGCCACTTAGACAAGAAAAGAGGGGCCAGACCTGGTGTGACAGCCCGGCTGGTGGTCAAGAAGCTGGTGACTGGACCCCAGAGTTCTGAGTCCAGACACCTGATACCCTCTAAATGGTCATGTTTCTGCCACCTCGACATGGTCACACCCGCAGGAGATGGCCTCCGCCCCATTCTTAACTTCCTCTCTTTGCAGGGTTCACAAATTCGTACCCAGGATCGTAGCTACATGAAAGTCGAGGAAAAGTAATTTTCAGCCTCCCAGCCCTTTCAATACAGGAGGTCCAAAGAGAGAGGAGGGATAGATGCTGCTGATCACACCTAGCATGGACACTCAGGAGGAAAGAGGATGCAAAGACCGGCCATATTCTAATGCTTTCTTCCATTTTTGTTTAATGTGGAAACTGAGAAGACTGAGAGCAGTCAGTTTCCAGATTAATTAGCCTAAATTACTGGTTTTCAGATTGTTAGCCTAAATTTGAGCTCGACCATGTATTAAAATCACCTTGTGAGCTTTTCAGAAAGGCCTGATACCTTTGCACACAGATTCTTGTGTAAGTAGGGCTCAGTGTGGCATCTTTTTAAAGCTCTTGGGTGATTTTTAAAGCAGCCTATCTTGAGAATCGCTGGCCTAAATGAATGGATAGATAGCAGAGCTCCAAAGACCAGCTCAATTGAGGGCACCGGAAAATTTCAAAACAAGACTGAGAAGCTTAAGCATTGACCCATCAAAGAAGCTAATACCCAACTAGATTGATTCCACAGCCTCAAACTGAAAAACTTCGTAATTTTCTTACTTTGGTTACAACACTTGTTAGAAAATATTACAGTAAATCTTGTATAGGAGCAATTATCAATTAGAACTATTCTGACTATTCTCTGAATGGGCATTTCATTATATTATTAGTAATATGTTAAGTCATTTATCAACTGATAATGATAAAGAGTTCATTCAGAAGCATGATTTTTCATACTGAAACTCCTGGGAAAATATTAGCTTTTGAAGGGGTACAGTACCAAACAAACAGATGGACCAGCATCAGAACTTCAGAAATTTTCTGGTGGTGAATATGAAGAATGACCTTGTGCCTGCTCAGTCGCTTCAGTCGTGTCTGATCTTTGCGACCCCATGAATTGTAGCCCACCAGGGTCCTCTGTCCATGGGATTCTCCAGGAGAGAATACTGGAGTGGGTTGCCATTTCCTTCTTCAGGGGACCTTCCAGACCCAGGGACTGAACTGGCATCTCTTGCATATCCTGCATGCGTAGGTAGGTTCTTTACCACTGAGCCACCTGGGAAGCCTGCTCTTGCCTTCAGGGGAAACAAATTATCTGGGCTTGTTTATATTTCAAAACTGCCTTAGTTTCCTGAAAGAGATAAAAGTATCCAGGAGAAATGGATAGATGGTACTGGTGAGGGAATCATAGCTGAATCATAGCAAAGATTGCCTGCAGTAACTGGAATTTGTTGACAGTTTATAACCATCTCAGCTCTAATCAAACTTGATTTTTCTTGACCACCCCAGATACGCTCACAACACAAGAAGACTGGACATTGACAAAGACGTTCATTTGGTTCTTTACAGCCACACTGGCAATACTGTAAAATTCTTTACCCATACAAACCCACTTTCATCTATAACTTGTTTCCTTGAGGGAAGAAACAAAGAACTAATACAGATCATGTTCAGGCTGAGAATTTAAACTCCGCTCGTATTTTGAGCCCCAGCAAGCAGCTACCAAACGAGTTTACCAGCTCTGTGCCATGCCACCTTACCTTGATTTTTGATATTTCTAAAGTCAAACATTGAAACCAAAAGGACAGTAAGCTGATGATAAATTCCCGATTAAATGCTTTGTCCACAGTGGGTCCTCAGTAAATAAGGAACGACTAAATCAAAAGGGATGTCCTACAGCCAGCATGACCCTAAGTAAATCTGCCTCTTTCATGGACCAAAAAATTATCTTGAATTTCTTGAATAAAGTGGCTTACATGGGTCAACTTTGAAGGTCATTTAAAGATGCCATTACATGTTGTTTTAATAGCACTGAAACCACCAAGCAACAAGTTCTTTGGAATATAAAATAAGAAAGCAAAGTTTTTGGTTTTCTTTTTGTTTTAGCTACCTGTCCAGCCCAGGAAAATCACTGAGAAGCTCTTTAACGTCTTTAAGTAAATGAATGAGCACCTTGTTACTTCATGGTGCTCTAGTTGGAGGAGGTGAGTGAGCACTGGGGGAATTAGCCATATCTTGCTCGGACATCCCATCAAGGATACCAATGACTGCAGCTGGAGATATTGCACACATTTCAGTGACCCTGGAATCCCCGACCCTGGCCACGGCCTTCAATTCCCAAGTGCATTCGCTTTGCTCAACTGAACTTGTCTTCTCTGGGCATCCTTGATACTGTCAGGCAGTAAAAGTAGCTTTTTCTGACTCTGGTTGTTTCTTCTGTTTCCTCTTGAAGCTGGTAGCTTCTTCTTTACCTTTTCTGAGCTCTGTCAAGTGTGCTAGATAATGACATAAGGGAAGTCTTTCAGTCACAAAAGGTATAGGAACAGATAGAAACAACTGAAAAGGAGGCTGTGGCAAAGGAGTGGAGAGCTAGTCTTGCTTCATTTCTCAAAATGTCACAGCAGACTTGAGTCTATTTTGGGTTCACATTCCAAGTTCAAATTCTGGCTTTGCATCACTAGCAGAATGACATTGGCAAGTTCTTAACCCTTTTGAGGCTTGGTTTCCCCATTTGCAAAGTGGAAATAACCATATGAGGTAGGTTTTATTGTTATTAACTAAGTTGATGTATGTATTGGGATGGCCAAAAAGTTCATTCAGGTTTTTCTGTATGATGTTATGGAAAAACATGAACAAATCTTTTGACCCACCCAATAAAATACACAGCACAGTGCCTACCACCTGGTAGGTGCTCAGTAAATATAAGTGTTCCCATGATTCCATTCTTGTAGCTACTCCATCAATGATGATTATTATTAGTATCATTATTACTTGGGAACATCTGTTCTATAATTTTATATTTAATATTCATTATACCATTTATTTAAGAGTTGTTATTTTCTGAAAAAGAACATCTTCCCCACATTTGGTATTTTTAGAAATGTCAGTCCTGATTTTCTTTTGACTCATTTTTATATTATCTCCATTTAATTTTAATCATGTCTATCATTTCAAATCCAGGATCCTCATAGAAGATCTTCAGAAAGTACTGGAAAAGGGAAGCAGTTTGCCAGCCTGGAGAAGTCGAAGATCCCTCTCTGGATATAATTATGAAGTTTATCACTCCTTAGAAGAAGTATGTAATCAGAGGACCTTTTGTGGTTTTTTTTCAAGTGCATCTTTATCACTCAGGTCTCAGGACTGGGGAGAAGCAGAGGGACACAGGCAGAATTTATGTGAAGAATACTTAAGCTCTTACAATGTCCAGGCACCTCAGTTCTCTTCCATTAAGTATTTTATATGAGAAGTATATACAAGAAGTAGCAAAATAATTTTAATTTCACATGCTTTACCCAACCCACCCCTACAATGGACGGGGGAAGTGCAATGGAAGAGTGTGGTAATGCTGCTATATAGTCGGCCCTTGGTATCCAAAGGACATGGGTGCAGGACCCCCTGTGGATTCCAGAATCATGGATACTCAAGTCCCTCGTGTACAACGGCATGGTACAGTCAGCCCTCAGTATCCACCAGGTCAGCATCCAAAGATATGGAGGGCCAACTGTAATAATGGTAATAAACACCCTAACTGGAAATCCATGGAATGTAGAGCTAGCCAGAGTTTGAGGGCAATGGTTTGGCTGAGCAGCGGAGTGAATTTTGACATTGGCCCCATACCCTCTGCAAATTTGAGCCCCCCCCAAAGCCAAACTGCGTGTGTGGCTCCTCAGGGCCTGTTAGCTTGCTGTTACTTATTTTATCTGGAAAACATAGGGACTCATCCCACTGCTGCTACTGTACATCTGGGCAATAACTATTCTTCAAATCTCAGTTTGTGCAAGAAGAGAGCTGTTCAACTCTTCCAGATGGGTCAGAACTCCCTGTCCCAGCCCCTGCATATTACCTGCACCCATAGTACATGGATGCGATACCTAACGTAATTTTTAATTATGACTAAGTACTTGATTAATGACTCCCTCTCCTAATAAGCTGCAAGGGCTGTGGGAGCTGGCCATTGCTTTCTTGTTCACCACTGTATCTCCAGTGACAAGCAGAGACTTCCAAATAAAGGGTCGTTGACAGAATGAATAAATGAATGAGTACATACATTTTTTCATTCTTCCCCTGAATTGAGCAAAGGAATGCCAGTCATAGAAGTAATGAGATCCTGTTATACTCTTAAGAGGACGTTTGGTTCTCTTGATAATGACTTTCAAAATTACGTCCACATGTTTTATGTTTTTAACATACCTTTTTGAAGCTTGAAGTTCGCAGCAATGGAAAGGATTTAGATAACTTGACACATTAAAGTGCTATTAACATGCACTAGAAAAAGGTCAAAATTTTTAAATATATTAATATAGGTAAGTACATATACATGTGTGTGCTGAGTTGCTCAGTCATACATACATATATGTAAATGTGTGTGTACATGTGCTCATTAGACTAAACAGCAATAGAAAAAAAGGAAAATATGAGTACTTTCCGAATATTTTTTTTTAGACTCTTACACATCTTGGAACAGTGGGACACTTTTTTGTGACTTCCTTCCTCCTTTTAAGTCAGAAATGTTACCCATCTTTCTAAATACCTTATTTATCCATCTCAAATATACCCTTTTCCTGATAACAGATAAATGTGAATGAATGGATCAGCGTCAATATATTGCTATTACTGGGGAAATTATTCAGGGTATGCCCTCTGATGTGTGGCTGGATCAACTAAATTTTGAATGCAAAAGATAATGTCTTTTTCTTAGCATCTTCTGTTCGGGGGTAAATTACAATATATAAGACTTAAACACTTTCCAATAGTTGGGATGGTTTTTCTGAAGCTTACTTCTTTCTTTTCCTCTTAAACAGTTGGAGATAATAGAAATAAATTTTTATTTTTTAAAAAGAGTCCAGAATATATTTATTTTCTGTAAAATTTTGCCATTAAGATGTTAATGACAAATAGCAATAGAAAGGTATGCTTTAAAAAGGGAACAATATGAAGACAAAGCAGCTATATATGAGAGCAGAAAATAAAGTGTAATTTTTAGTATCCTGAAGAAAACTGACTACAAAATTGCTTTTTCATTAAATTTTATACTCCAAACATGCTTTTTGAGTTCCAAGATCTATTGTCTTTCTGTTACCTTTTATTAAAAGCTCCATAATTGTGTGAGTCTAACATGGTTTTAATTTATTTGCTTTTAGATTCAAAATTGGATGCATCATTTGAATAAAACACATTCAGGTCTCATTCACATGTTCTCTATTGGAAAATCATATGAGGGAAGATCTCTTTACGTTTTAAAGGTAAAAAAATAAATTAGCAACTGAATATTTACTATTCATCTTTTTCAGCTTTGACTTATAAGGAAAAGAAGTGAAATGGGTTTTCATAGTGTCTTGTATTTAACATCATCTGGTAATTTAAGACTGGTGGCTTAGATAGTAAAGAATCTGCCTACAAATGAGAGACCCAGGTTTGATCCCTGGGTGCAGAAGATACCCTGGAGAAGGGAATGGAAACTCATTCCAGTATCCAGGCTGGATAATCCCACAGACAAAGGAACCTGGTAGGCTGTCAGTCCATGGGGTTTTAAGGTGTCAGACATGATTGAGTGACTAACACTTTCACTTTTTTCCCAGTAATTTAAGAAAAAAAATTTTCCCTTAAGTTTTTGAGCCATATTTAATTTTTGCCATTGAGTATTGCAAAGAATACTATTTCTAACTTATTCAGAGTGACTGATGAACTTCAAAAATAATGACCTTCAAAATTATTTGTGAGTTGGTGCTGCTTACAATGAACAGATGCAAAACTATACAAATGTGTCAGAAGGTATACGTCACTCCCAGCCCTTGAGCCTGCATTCTCTTCCAGCTACTCATCTATAGCTCTCCATTCCTTCTCAGCCAAACATCTTAAAAGATTTTCCTACATCACTGTCTCTACTTCCTCACCAACCATTCAGACCCGGGACTCCCTGACCTTTGCCCCGACAACAACTGTAGAACTTCTGGATGACTTCTACTTGGCTCTCCTCCCGTCTCAGAGCATCCTCTTCCCCTGTCCTTTCTTTACGTGCTGGTGACCCCAGGATTCTCTCCCCAGCTGTGCTGTCTACCTGCCGTCTTGGAAGCACATCCACCCCATGGTTTCAGCAATCATTCCAGACTTATCTGTTCAGTGGACTCTGCTCTCTAGTGCTGGGCATCCTCATCTCGACATTCACCAAAGCACCTAAGACTCAATGGCACCATTGTGCTCCAGATCAGGAAACATGAACCACCTTCCTCTTCCTTATTCTAACCACTTCAAATCTAACACGAAGAACTGACAATTTTTTTTCTTCTATCTTCTAGATTTATCACAACCTCTTCTCTTGTCCTCGCTGCTGTTGACCTAGGCTTGTTTCTGGATCTATTCTCCCTGGACTATTACACTCACAGCCTTAGGACTGAACTTCCTCGTTAGTCCCCATCCTCTCATCCTCTAACCTATCTATACACACACACCCACACCCCTCCCATAGAATACAGGATGAAGCCGTATCTGAATGTCATATCTAGGAATGTCATGTGCCTCCTGCCTCTGGGTCAGCTTCATCTCCCTTCTTTCTTCATACCTTAGAAGCATTGGCTCAAACATGGTGTGCTCAGCTTCTCTTCCAAGCTTGAGATAAATGTCTTCTTCCACTTCTCTGCCAGGCAAGCTTCAAGTCTTACCCACATACTCAAAGTCTTTTCTCTTCTGAGAAGCCCTCATTTGTTCCCCAGGAAAATGACACATACCACCCCATGTCCCCAGAGTAACTCCTGCATATTCACCTTATAGTGATGAATTGCTGGTATTTCTGCCCTCTCCACTTCCATATAAATTCCTCATCTTCTCATCTCAGAATCTCCAAGGTCAAGCACCATGTCTGATGTTTAAAAGAATTTCTTGATGTGTTAATATCAGTTGAGTGAATTAATGAATGAATGAAAACTAGATCTCCCATCAATGTCAAAATTAGTGGGTAAGAAACCATGTTATAGATGAGATTTATATAGCAGGATTATAAAGAAAAGTTTATTGCTTGATTCTACAAATCAAATTGTTTTGTGTTTCCTTTATGTATTGTAATAAAATTTAAATTTGTCTTCCTACAAGACATAGCTATTTCTTTAATAGATATTGCTTGGGAATATTTCTGTTACCTTGCATGGGGAGGAGGGTTGAGAAAAAGAGGGCAAGGACAGGGAAAAGGAAGGAAAAAATTCAGTTTCTTACTTAACCGCCTATTAAAATGGAATGTGTACATGCTAAGTCGCTTCAGTCATGTCCAACTCTTTGCAACCCTATGGACTGGGGCCCTCCAGGCTCCGCTGTACATGGGATTCTCCACTCAAGAATACTGGAATGGATTGCCATTCCCTCCTCCAGGGGATCTTCCCAACCCAGGGATCGAACCAACATCTCTCACATCTCTTGCATTGGCAAGCAGGTTCTTTACCACTGGCGCCACCTGGGAAGCCGTAAAAAGGAGAAGCACATCTATTTAATCAACTGCCTTTTCCTTATGTATTTTCCACTTCTTTGATTTGTAATTAAGGCAATAAATTTACAGTTTCTGCATCAACAAGCTTGGACTTCTGAAATCGATAGGAACTCTCTTTGTCTTTTTTATGGGTTACCTAATGAACCCAACTCTAGTGAAGTATTATGCTGAAACCATATTAAATTATGCAGGTCAGTGAATCCAAAAATAAAAGCTTGCATTGGTTACTATGAATACTCTTGTTTTCAGCTGGGCAGAAGATCACGATCTTACAAAAGAGCTGTCTGGATGGACTGTGGCATTCATGCAAGAGAGTGGATTGGTCCTGCCTTCTGTCAGTGGTTTGTAAAAGAAGTAAGTTAAACCCTTTATGCAGTGTCCATTTGAGCTAGCCAGTGTTTTTATTCTGCTCAAGGAACAAAACTGGGAATGTGAAGCGAGTGATACCTGATAATAACACCATAATTTTGTGGGTTGCTTTTATGTTTATGAAGTCCTCTCAAAAACCTGGCTCAGATTATCTTCACCTCTGCCCTTGGAGGCGGGAATTACCAACCCTCATTAAAGAGAAAGAACTTAAAAAAAAATTTTTTAATTAAAAAAAATAAATACAGAGAAAGAACTTGAGATTCAGAGTGTTAATGAATTTATGACAAATTAGGAACCAACCACAGTAGCTGATAGATGACAAAAGGCTAAAAATTCAATGTATGGTGTTCCAAAACAGTTTTTCATGTGATATTCAGCATGGAAAATTCTACATGACTGTTGTTCTCCTTCAAAATGATCTCACATATGCTACAGCAATAAAGAGATGCCCTCCTGCTATGGATCTGTGATTTAGATTCCAAAGACCTTTAGCATTTGTGGATGTAACATTCACTGTTTCAGTGCTTCTCGGTGACTAATGGTTAATGACTCACAGTGGTTTCTCATTTTCTGGAGCCTTCATTTAAGTCATAAACCCTATGAGGCTAGTATATTGAATGTGTTCTTCTCCCAAGAGTGGGTCAGCCTCATGGGCTAACATATTAATACATTCTGATATCTTTCTATTGTCAAGAATGTAATGACTTCCATGGTTTTCTTTTTCAGTTTCACTTCTTAGTGCTTTGTCTGTTTTTTTTTTAAAGACTCCTAAAATAAACTACTAGTACAGGTAATAAAAGTGAAGAAGTCTAAGGAACGGAGGTTCTAAGTCAGAAAATAACCCTAAAAATCACTTCTAGAAAACCATTAATGATACAAGATAGTGAAATATTTCAGTTACATTTCACTATGTTTTTATGGGAAAATTATGTGACCTAGTGGAGTTTGTGATTTTGAAGACTCTCCTAGTCTTAGAAAATATGCCTCACAAATGTCAATGATGTACTAAATTTGTAAAGTCTGCTTCTCCACCACTACCAAGCCCACACAAGTATCCATTTTATAATGTAACAATAAAATTTTCAAAGTATTCCCACTCAGTGTATTCAGCAATTCATATTCTCTTAAAATACCATTTTACCCAGTAGGACAAAAGAAAAAGCTAACAAATTGTTAACCCTAGCATCTTGTATAAATATCCATTATATACATATAACATTGTCTACTGTCTCAAGTTTCAAAACTGAGAAGGGAAAAAATGGTTAAGAACAGAACGTCTATTGTTTATAGACTATGGTCCTTCTCGGGTGGTGCTAGTGGTAAAGAACCCAGCTGCCAATGCCAGAGATGTAAGAGACATGGATTCGATCCCGGGGTCAGGAAGATTCCCTGGAGAAGGGCACAGCAACACACTCCAGTATTCTTGCCTGGAGAATCCCATGGACAGAGGAGCCTGGTGGGCTACAGTCCATAGGGGGGCACAGAGTCAGATACAACGGAAGCGGTTTAGCACACATGTACGCATGGTCCTGTGTGTTATTATAGAACGTAAAATATATCTTCCAAACATTTAATCTCACCCTCATATGTGCAGCCTTTTTATAGCAACTAAGCTTACTTTATTTGTCCATGTGGTACTTGTCTCTCTTCCTATACCAGTGCCAAGGGCAGAGCCTATCTTGCTCATTGCCAAATCCCTAGCACCTAGAACACCATCTGGCACTTAATAATGCTTCAGTTATCTGTGAACGAATGGGAATAATGAGAATTCAGTGGTTTGGGCTTGTGTGGGGAATCTGTGTCTGAGAGCTCAGTCACATGACTGTTGGCAGCTTCCGTCCTCCCTGGCTGTGAGCCAGAGACATCAGTTCCCCATCACGTGGGCATCACCTCAGGACAGCTCACAGCCCACCACCTGGCTACCCTCAGAACAGATGAGGCGGAGGAAGAGCGATCAGCCCAAGATGGAAGCCACAGTCTCTTTTAACCTAATTTCAGCAGTGACATCCTATCACTTTTTTCATATATTCTGTCCATTGGAATACATCACTAGGTCCAGACTGATTCAAGGGGAGGGCATTAGACAAAAGCACAAGGGCCAAGAAGTGAGAATCACTGGGGGCCACTTTGGAGGCTGCCAGCCGTTCCTGGTGGGACTTTCTCTGTAGCCATCACTGTAATGCTTGCATCCTTACTTCAACATGAACTGGAAGAAAACTTATCCAGCCTTTTAAGTTCTGCTAGAGCAGCAGATGGCACAGAGGTTACATATACACATGTAGTAGTCAGACAGCCCTGGGTTGGAATGCCAGCTCTGCCATTTACTAGCTGTGTGATCTTGGTGGGCAAGTCATAATAATAATAATAATCATGAGTGAGTGAGTGAAGTCGCTATAACTGTGTCACATATTATGATTTTTAATAATAATCATAATATGTGACACACTCAGTTATTGGGAGGATTCAATTATATAGTGTTTATAAAAGACTTAACAGTGCTTGGCATATAATAAGCAGTTAATAAAATCAATTCATTTTTAATAGGAGTAGTATCAGCAAGTTGGTATTTTTAAATGACCAGAGAATCATTAGAAAGAAAATCAGCAAGGATATGAAAGAACTTAACACCACCAACCAACAGGATCTAAATCACATTTATGGATCACCCAACAAACAACAGCAGAATATGCATTCTTTTCAAGTGCCTGCAGAACATACTGAGGCTTTACCCTGGCTCAGCTGGTAAAGAAGCTGCCTGCCAACGCAGGAGATGCAAGAGATACAGGTTCAACCCCTTGGTCAGGAAGATTCCCTGGAGAAGGAAATGGTAACACGCTCTAGTATTCTTGCCTGGGAAATCCCATGGATAGATGAACCTGGTGGGTACGAACATCGGGTCTCAAAGAATTGGACACAACTGAGCACACACACGCAGAACATATACCAAGATATTCCATATCACACACCAAGAAACAAATCTCAGCAAATTTAAAGGAAATGAAATCATATAGACCATGTTTTCTGACCACAGGGAAATCAAACTAGATATTGATAACAGAAAGATAACCTCCAAACACTGAGAAATTAAGATGCCTCTGAATTACCTATGAGTTAAGGATAAAATCTCAAGGGAAATTTAAAAAGTAAATTGCACTGAATGAACATGAAAATACATACAGCATATTAAAATTTGTGGTACACATCAAAAACAATGCTAAGAGGGAAATTTATAGCACTTAAATGTATGCATTAAAAGAGAGGGAAATTCTCAGAGCAATAAGCTCTCAACTCAAGAACCTAGAAAAATAGAAAATAAAGGCAAAGCAAGAAGGAGCTAATAAGGACAAGAGTAAAAATCAATGAAACTGAAAACAGAAAATCATTAAAGAAATCAGTGAAACAAGGATCTAGTTCTTGAAAAGATCTGTGAAATCAACAAAGTTCTAGCAAGAGAGACAGAAAAAGAACATACAAATTATCAACTTAGGAATGAAAGAGAGAGATGATTACAGACCCTGCAGATATCAAAAGGACAATAAAATAACGCTATGAATAACTCTACACATATAAATTTGACAACTTAGGCAAAAATATACCAGTAAATAGAAAAACACAAACTTTCACAACTCATTCATTATGCAACAGGCAAGTTGAATATCCCTACTACTATTAAAGACATTGAATTCATAACTTTAAAATTCAAAAAGAAGAAAGGAGTAAATCTCCCTACCCAGATGGTTTCACTAAAGAATTCTACCAACTGTTTAAAGAATAAGACCAATTCTACACACTCACTTTCACAAAAATTTCCAATTCATTTTATAAAGTTAGTATTACCTTAGTATCAAAATCATACAAAGACAGTATGAAAAAAAAACAAACTAGAAAACAGATTCAGAAATCCTTAACAAAATATTCCCAAATAGAATTTATCAATCTATAAAATTAATTCTGCATCACAACCAAGTGAGGTTTATTTCAGAGACCCAAACCTGGTTTAATATTTGAAATTCAATCAATGTAATCTACCATACTAACAGCTAAAAAAGAGTCTATTTAATCTTATCAGTTGATACCGAAAAATACCTTGACAAAATTTAATAGACATTCATAATAAAAACTCCCAGAAGAGCATATATAGAGTGGAACTTCCTCAACTTTATAAAAACTATCTATGAAAATCATATTGCAAACATTACACTTAGTGGTAGATGAGCAAATGCTTCTTCCTAGGATCAAGAATAAGGTAAGGATGTCCACTCTCACCACTCCTAATTAACATAGTGCTGAAAGTTCTAGTCAGCAGAAGAGGAAGAAATAAAACATGTACAGATCTGAAAGGAATGAATAAAATTATTCTACCCATTAATGACATGATTGTCTACATAGAAAATCCCAAGGAATCTACAGGAAAATAGAAGTAACAAAGTAATTAAGATCACAGGACACAAGATACACATACAAAAATCAACTGTATTTCTATATACCAGCAGTGAACATGTGGATGCTGAAATTAAAAATACATTATAATTTATAATTACTCAACAAATGAAATAAGCATAAATCTCACAAAACAAGTATAGGAATTATGTGCTGAAAACTACAAAACTGATCCAAAAAAATCTAAGTATATAGAGACATGCCATATTCATGGACAGGAAGATTCAATATAGAAAAATATCAGTTCTCTCCAATTGATATCAATGTTTAACATAATTCCTATAAAAATTCCAGCAAGGCTTTTTGTAGATATAGGTGAAATTATTCTAAAATTTATATGAAAAGGCAAAGGAACCAGAAGAGTTAAAACAATTTTGTAAAAGAATCATTTTACTCAACTTCAAGGTATGTAGCTACAATAATCAAAAGTATATAGTGCTGGTGAAGGGACAAACAGAAAAATGGAACAGGAGACTCAGATACAGACCTACAAAGTGTGCCCAAGTGATTTTCAACAAAGGTGTAAAAGCAATTCAGTGAAGGAA